TTATTACTCTAGAAGCAACACCCTCATTTTGAGTTTTACCAATAATCAGAACTTCCAACATCTTTTCCAAGAACACATTTAAGCCGTTTTGCCAGAGAGTTCAGCTGAGCCCAATGATTTTTGTGTGTTAAGCTCTGAAAATACTTTCGGGAGAACACAGTGATATCATTTACAAGTTCTCTGGGAAAACCGGGAAATTCAGTACTAGAGTGGAAAGCCAGGTCGGCACTAAGACATCTACTGAAAATTAGGTCTCATGTTGATAGAAGACGACACAGGTCGACTGTTTTAAAGATCACTGGCATTTTAACCTGATCTAAACCTGATTTTAGAACCTGATCTAAAAACCAATTTTTCGGCCAGGAGTGGCAGCTCACACCTGTAATCACAGCACTTTGGGAGGCTGAGGCAGGTCAATCACCTGAGATCAGGAGTTCGAGACCAGCCTGGCCAACATGGCGGAACCCCGTCTCTACTAAAAATACAAAAATTAGCTGGGCATGGTGGCGGACGCCTGTAATCTCAGCTACTTGGGAGCCTGAGGCAGGAGACTTGTTTGAATCCAGGAGGTGGAAGTTGTAGTGAGCGGAGATTGCACCATTGCACTCCAGCCTGGGCGACAAGAACAAAACTCTGTCTCAATAAATAAATAAAATATATAAATTAAAAATAAAATAAAATCCAATTTTTCCTCTACTCCTCTTAAAAACATGCTTTCTGGACTGGGGGTGGTGGCTAACGCCTATAATCCCAGCACTTTGGGTGGCCAAGGTGGGCAGATCACGAGGTCAGGAGTTTGAGACCAGCCTGGCCAACATGGTGAAACCAGTCTCTACTAAAAATACAAAAAAATCAGCTGGGGGTGGTGGCGGGAGCCTGCAAATCCCAGCTACTTGTAAGGCCGAGGCAAGGAGAGTCGCTTGAACCTCTCCATCCCGGGCAAAAGTTCGAGACTCTGAACTTTTCGTCTCAAAAAACAAACAAAAACACACAAAACCAACACACACACACGAAACGATGCTTTCTGCGTCACATCGGAATGTCATACACTGGAGGAGAGCTGCATGTGGTTTTCTGTGCTAACTGATACACAACGACATAAATATCACACTAAGACAAAATATACATCAGCAATGATCAGAAACGCTCTCACACACCACCATCGCACTCCACCCGCCCTCTCTGTGCCCCTGGATGTAAGTGTGCGCAGCTACGGTCCCCATCGTACCTCAGGCTCCATGTGCCTTGGAAAAAGGGAGGTGGTGAGGTATTTGTATAAAATTCTCATGTCGTCTTGTTCTAATCCACTCCTGGAACATCAGAAAAGCACTGGGTTAAACGTTTTGGAATTGTCTTCCATCTTTCCACTGCTGTGATAAAGTTCATTTAAAAAAAAATTTTTTTTCTCAAGTCATTTTTAGTGACACAGAATAAATTCTAACTTTTTAAAGTCTAAAGCTACATAAAACTCAAAACAATCTATTTTTCTACCTGAGATCAAAATGAGTTTCCTTTTTCCTAAACATAATTCTTAGCACTGAGGTAAATCTGAATTTATGTGGTATACTTTGTCAAACTTTTCCAAAAAAATTTAAGCCCTGGATAAAGCTCATTTTTTATTTAAAAAAAAAAACCAAAAGAAAAACTTTGAGACAATGTCGGTTGCTCTGTCACCCAGGCCGGGTGCAGTGGTCGTGATCACGGGCTCACTGGCGGAGCCTCGGGCCTCCAGCGGGGGCTTGTAAAGCCGTCTCCCATTTCAGCCTCGCGGGACAGCTGGGATACAGGCGTGCACCACCATGCCCAACCGAATTCTGGTTCTACCTTGATGTAGAGGGAGGGGTCTTGCGTATGTATCCTAGGCTCGGTTTCAAAGCTCCTGGACTCAAGCAGTGCTTCCTGCCTGCAGTCCTCGCCTAAAAGTGCCTGGGATGTACTGTATGTGACCACTGTGCCTCGGCCTCATCTGTTTTTCACTTGTTGTCAAGAGAAGAGTCTCGTCTGTTTGCCGCAGGCTGGAGTTACGTAGTGGTGTGACGCAACAGCCTCGCTGCAGCCTCCGATTCCTAGCTTCAAGCGAACCTCCCACCTCCAGCCGTCCCTGAGTAGCTGCAGCACTACCGTGCTTTTTTCTGTTAACATGGGTATAGGTATCAAGAGGCCAGCCTCCTGACTGCCACAAGTTCAGGAAGGCGAAGAGTCTAAACGGAGTCCAGGCACTGCGAAACTTCATCTCTGAGCCTGCAATAGAGGCTACTCCTAACGTTAGCTCTTGTATTTTTACAAGCCATTGGATAAAAAGTCACCATAAGGATCAGACTAGTTGAATTCCATGTAGGATTATGCAGGAAACCTCCAAAGCACACTGTTTCATTTAGCAGAGTGTCTCTTAGCTTCCTGGTTTATACAGGTAACCCACATTCTTCCCCCTAGTCCCCCGGGAAAATATGGTGTGCTGTAGACAGGGAACGTGATCTAGTCTCAGAAGACTGAATGGATTTAATTCTCTTCGCATCTCGAGTGTAGAAAAAGAGAGGAGGAGAAAAACAAGCTTTCAGGCAAACCGTCTAATCGTGAAATGAGGCGCAGGAAGGAGGCAGCACGTTGGATGAATCAGCACAGAGAAACTAGCCGGCATCAGACTCTGGAATCAGTTTTTTAAAAGGAGAGAGACAGACAGACAGTGAGGCTGGATCTGGGGGTTTTCTATTCAAGATCACTGAAATATCCTGAAGGTGCCCAGGCGCGGTGGCTCACACCTGTAATCCCAGCAGGTTTTGGGAGGCCAAGGTGGGCAGATCACCTGAGGTCAGGAGTTCAACACCAGCCTGGCCAACATGGCAAAACACCGGCTCTACTAAAAAACACAAAATTTTGCTAGGACTGATAGCACACGCCTCTAATCCCAGCTACTTGGGAGACTGAGGCATGAGAATCGCTTGAACCTGGGAGGCGGAGGTTGAAGTGAGCTGAGATCACGCCACGGCACTATAGCCTGGGCGACCGAGCAAGTGAGACTCTGTCCCAAAAAAAAAATCAAAACAATATACTAAATAAATACATAAGGGTAATATTTACTCTGCTTGTGACAAATTCTTTTATTTCCCCCTTTTTGGTGGAGACAGAGCCTCATATTGTCCAGGCTGAGACAACATAATGACAATATAATGTCCAGGCTGAGACAACAGAGCCTCATTATATTGTCCAGGCTAGTCTCCAAGTAACTCCTGGCTCAAGCAATCCTTCTGCCTCCTCCTCCCCAGTAGCTGGGACCATAGGTATGTGCCACCGCACCTGGTTTAAAAGTCTTTCTTGGCATTTAAATATAACAGCTTCGGAATGAGCAATTCTGTCAAAACGTGCTGTTTTTTTCTTCGACAGGGTCTTGCTCTGTCACCCAGGCTGGAGTACAGTGGTGCTATCATAGCTCACTGCAACCTCAAACTTCCGGGCTCAACTGATTCTCCGGCCTCAACCTCTGTAGTCTCTGTAGCTGGGACTGTTAAGTGCGCACCACAGTGCCCAGCTGATTTTTTTTTTTTGCATTTTTTGTAGAGATACAGTCTATGTTGCCCAGGCTGGTCTTGAACTCCTGGTGTCAGGTGATCCTCCTGCCTCAGCCTCCCAGAGTGCTGGGATGACAGGTGGAAGCGATCGCAACTGGAGTAACATGCTGTTTTTCTTGAAGGTTCTTTTTGTTGCTACTTCCTGGGACTGACCTTTCCCCCACGAGCACACTGGAGGTGACAACAGAACAGTTCTGTGCAGCCACCAGAGCTGTGCCCTGCTCTACCCCTCGGATGCTATTCCAAGATGACAATGCCAGCAGGATCCCTGGAGCTGGGCGCCAGATTGTCCTGTGACTCCAGGCTTCCAAGGGCCAACGCTGCTGGTCACTCTGGCTCCAGCGTCTCCCAGAATGAGCTCCTGGAGGACCCTCTGCTCTTTCGTTCTTCCTCACTCTCAGGAGGTTGCACCCACGGCAGGGCTTGTGTCCGTCCCGGAGATCAGAATCTCAGCTGCTCTTCTCTTTTCGGTGGAGACAAGGCCATGGGCCACTGCTGCTGGATTCCGGCTTGTCACACTACATCTCCCTATCACCGTGGATGCACGTCACTTGCAAGTACCTCCTGTCATTTTCATCTGGGGAGGAGCCACTCCCTCTGCAGACCTGATGCTACAGGAGCACAACTATCCTCCCATCTCCTACATTCCACGGCAGTATTTCACTTACTAACATCGTGTGTGTATCACAGAAAGCAACTACAACAGAGTCAGTACAGTGGAAGGTTGCCCCATGAACAATTTGTCAAATTAAAAAATAGGTGGAGGCCGGGCACGGTGGCTCACGCCTGTAATCCCAGCACTTTGGGAGGCTGAGGCAGGCGATCACTTGAGGTCAGGAGTTCGAGACCAGCCTGGCCAACATGGTGAAACTCCATCTCTACAAAAAAATGAGCTGGGTGTTGTGGTACGCACCTGTAATCCCAGCTGCTCAGGAGGCTGAGGCAGAATTGCTTGAACCCAGGAGGCAGGGGTTGCAGCAAGCCAAGATCGATCATGCCACTGCACTCCAGCCTGGGCAACAGAAAGCGACTCCACCGCAAAAAAAAAAAAGTAGATGGGTTTTCACCAGGAATTTGTGTTGTCTTCCTAGGAGATAACAAAGTTCATGTAGAAACCCACCAAGTTGTTTATTAACTGGATTCAAATTTCTTTACAGTAACTTGTTTCTCTTCTTAAAATGGAGCCACAAGATTTTGGCAGGGAAGGTAAATTTCAGGGGAACTAGTTTTGCCTTTTCTATTAGCTGAACTCACGTTATAGTAGTAAAATACGGCCACACCCCTAATTAAGAAACTGGGCTGGCTGGGCGCGGTAGCTCAAGCCTGTAATCCCAGCACTTTGGGAGGCCGAGACGGGCGGATCACGAGGTCAGGAGATCGAGACCATCCCTGCGGCAACACGTGAAACCGTCTCTACTAAAAATACCGAAAAAAACTAGCCAGGCGAGGTAGCAAGGCGCCGTGTGGATCCGCCCTATCAGGAGGCTGAGGGCGGAGAATGGCTGTGATACCTGCGGAGCGGAACGCTCTGCAGTGAGCCTGAGAATCGCGGCACCGGCACCTCCAGGCCTGGGGCTGAGAGGAGCGAGACTCCGTCCTCAAAAAAAAAAAAAAAAAAAAAAAACGAACCTGGCTAAGCGGTTGCGGTGGTCACACTGTAAATCACAGCACTTTGGGTGGCCAATCCGGCAAATCACCGTGGAGGGGTCCAGGGTTTTAAGACCAGCCTGGCCAACATGGGAAACCCGTCTTCCACTAAAAATAACAAAACACTGAGCGCGATAGGTGGCACGTGCCTGTAATCCCAGTACTCAGGAGACTGAGGCCAGGAGAATCGCTTGACCGCAAGGAGGTGGAGGATGCAGTGAGCCAAGCCACAAGGAATTGTGCGTACTCCGCTGGGCAAGAGGAAGTGAGACTCTGCTCTCAAAAAAAAAAAAAAAAAAAAAAAGTGGGCTTCATTAGTCAATGGGAACATAAAACCTGGAGGGGATCCTCGGACACAGCCTGCGGGATGGCCCTGGCCCACTCCTGCCTATGTCCACGGTTGTCCACCTACTCTAGGCCGAAAGTCGCGGCGGCCTCGGTTTGCCATCCAGCTCTCAGGGTCCACGTGATGCTTGGGCATCCTTGTGACCACCCTTGGTTCCTACCCTGCAGGACACAAAACAGCCTTTGACGATAGCAAGGTAATTTCCGGTTTTTATATAACACCTGGATTTCCTTGGAATTAAAAAAAAGAACCTGCTAGCTTCTTTAAAAGAAAGCAGGTGGCAGTGGCTCAATGCCCTGTATCCCAAGTGCTTTGGAGCTGAGGCGGGTGGCGATCCCGCTGAGGCCAGGAGCTTGGAAGGACCAGCCCTGAACCAAACCACCAATAAACCCCGTCTCTAAGAAAACAAAAGGCTATAAAATTCCGCTTCTCACAATTCGTCATTTTGGAAAAAACTCCAAACAGAACAAAATAGATCCTAAAGACCTAGTACTGAATAGGAACCATTTTTTTTTTTTTGGAGACTGAGTCCTCTCTCTGTTGCCCAGGCCTGGAAGTGTAGTTAGCGGCCATCCTCTAGCTCACTGCAACCTCTTGCCTGCCCGGGTTCAAGCGATTCCTTCTGCCTCAGCCTCCGCGCAGTAGCTCGGGACTTACAGGCATGAAGCCACCCACTAAGCGGCTAATTTTTTGTATTTTTGAGTACAGACGGTTTTCCCCATGTTGGCCCGGGCTAGTCTCAAACCCCTGACCTCATGATCCTTGCCCGACCTAGGCCCTCCCAAAGTGCTAAGATTTACAGGCGGGAAGCCTACTGCCGGCCCCAGCCTCTTCATCTTTCATGCAACCAGTTTTAAACTCCTCTGCTTGGAAATTTTAACCCAAATCACCCTAGTTCTGCTTTAAATAATCACTGCTTTATTTTGACAATATCTATGAAGATGCTTCCTACCCAGCCTCCCCCTACAAGTTCCTGTTTGACAACCTGCCATCAATCCAGTCACTGCTGTTTTTATTATCTCAATTTTTTCTTTTAATACCATGCCTTGGGGTGTACCTACCAGATGAGCTGATCGTTATAGAGAAACGCAGTGTATTTGACTATATTCAGGCTTTCCTCCACTCTATTAATAAAGGACTGGATTTTCAAATAAGTCATTTTATCCAATGGGAAGAAGCTGATTCCACCAAAAATGTCAAGTAGGTCACATGACTGCAAATGTAGCGTTTGCAAATACTGTGGAAAAAAAGTAAGGCATAAAATTTACTAATAGTACACTGAATATAATGCTCCTTGATAACTGAAAATAATCTTATGTCAGACTCTTATTTATGGTACAATTACACACTAGCAAACAGCACAACAACGAGGCCATGGCGAAAACATGGGTAACCGAGTATGAACTCAGTATCAATTCCAAGATACAAAGTTCAAACATATCTAGTTAATGTTTATTCAGTATTGTGTTTTACCTCTTTTTAAAGTTAAATTTTTTTTTTTTTTGAGATGGAGTCTCACTCTGTCACCCAGGCTGGAGTGCAGTGGCACAATCTCAGTTCACTGCAAGCTCTGCCTCCCAGGTTCACACCATTCTCTTGCCTCAGCCTCCCGAGTAGCTGTGACTACAGGCACCTGCTACCACGCCCGGCTAATTTTTTGTATTTTTTAGTAGAGACAGGGTTTCACCATGTTGGCCAGGATGGTCTCGATCTCCTGACCTCGTGATCCATCCGCCTCAGCCTCCCAAAGTGCTGGGATTACAGGCCTTAGTGACCGCACCCGGCCCAAAATTTGTTTTTTTTTTGGTATAGATAGGGTCTTGCTATGTTGCCCAGGCTGGTCTTGAACTTCCAGCCTCTGTGATTCTCATGTCTAGGTGTCCCAAAGCTCTAGGAATACAGGCATGAGCCACTGTGCCCAGCTAGCACTTTAAAGTATTTAATTCTTGGCCGGGCGCGGTGGCTCACGCCTGTAATCCCAGCACTTTGGGAGGTCAAAGCAGGCAGATCACTTGAGGTCAGGAGTTTGAGAACAGCCTGGCCAACATGGCAAAACCCTGTCTCTACTAAAAATACAAAATTAGCCGGGCGTGGTAGCCTGTAATCCCAACTACTTGGGAGGCTGAGAGACAGGAGAATCACTTGAACTTGGGAGATGAAGGTTGCAGTGAGC